GCAAGGAAAGAACCTTGGTGTTTGGCTTGTTCAGTGAACACTAAGTAGCTAATTGGTAGAAAGCTACTCCTTATCTAGTGACAGAAGAGCTTGGGGAAATGGGCAGGCTGAAAAGAAAAAAACAAATCAAGTTGAATAAATCTTGAGTAGATAAAATTAATGAGTAGATAATTAAAGATAAACTCAACAATTAAGAACAATAAATAATAACTGCTGAATTAAATAATTTACCGCCCATAGAGAACTGGTGGGAAAATCTGTTTCTCCACTCCTGAGCTAGCTGATAGGCATCTGAGCTGGGGGTCTGCCACTTCCCCAAGCTGATTTTGAGGGATGGTTCTCCTAAACTTCTGGGAAAGAAAAAGGCTGACAGGCCAATGAATCAGATGAATGACACATGGCATCTGGAAATTGGCCCACGCACACCTGTAGCCTTCATCCGTGAGTAATGCTCTTTGAACGACAGATGCACACAATGCGCTCTCCTGGTGACATGAGAACATATAGGAGAAACTAAAGCCTCACCTGGTGGGAAGAGACTTTCATGCTGACATGAAGCGAAGGATTATGGGATGATTCCAAGATAAGAGGGACTAAATTGACCCTGTAGCAGAGCTTTGTTACCCTGGGTTTGTGTAGTTAATGTAAGAAGTTATCATTCACACAATGGAGTTGTTGTCTGGGTGGAAATCCGTTTTCCTTCCAGCCTGGTGAGAAGTCACCAGGAGACCGTTCCTCTCTCTCTGAAAGGCCTGTTTGCAGAAGAGAGGCTATTTGTCAGGGCGTCTGAAGATTTCCGTGGAGGAAGAGTAAAACCATTGTAATAGTTCTTGAATCATTTATTAATAAGGAGAGACTGAAAGGGAGCCTTTCTGAGCCTGACACACCCTATCTGGATTGGACTATTATCATGGTGTTACTTAAACTGGATATTTCTGAGTTTGAGAGATGTACAAATGTTCAATTTTTGAATGTTTGTTGCAAGGTTAGAGTGAAAGGTCACACCTCTGTGGCTGGGAGTGTTTTCTCAGGAAAGAAATGGGTAATCCTACTGTCAATCACTCTGGGTAGAAATTAATCCTCAGGAGTAAGGACACAGCACAGAAAAGGAGGAAAGGTAAACTTCTGTTCCCTGGGAGGCCAGGGCTCATTCTGGTCTAGGCTCGAGGTTCTCTTTGTTTCCCAGAGCATTTCCATGGGGGTGGAAATAGAGCTGGGAGGGGTGTTGCCATGAGGTTGATGGAGATCGTGGGATGGCTCTCGTCCTGAGCATCAATGCAATATTATAGGTTACTCTTGATGTCAACTGTCTCCAGCAGTCTTTTTAAATGACCAAAAAAAAAATCAAGGCCGTTCTTAGCGGTGCTGTGGGCAATTAGTGGAGGACCTACCGACACACTTTGGGAAAGGTGCTACAGGAAAAGCAGCATCCTCTCCTGGAGGCTGGAAGGGCAGTAGCAGAATTTAGTACTCTTAGAGGAAAACAGTAGTGGAGATGAGAGAATCCGACCGCCCAGTTGCCAAGCACCAGGGAAGAGCCTTCTCTAAAAGAGCAAGTGGATACACTAAGGGGAGCTAATTTCTAAAAATTAAGTCTGAGAACGCTCCTGGCATTTGAGTACATGTTTGTACAGTATTTCCCACTCTTGCTCCAGCAAGCAATTTGTTTGAATACTGCTCATTACCGTGACTATGTACCCTAAATAATATTCTACAAATGCTTTGGAGCTAACATCTCAGGGCAGAACTCACTCTCTGTCACTAGTAGGACTATTCAACATGAAACTTTTACTTGGTTTTCATTTAAGTTTTTCATAAATATCTCTTCCCTTACCAGCAAATTTGTTCCAAGCATCATACAGTTGTACTGGTTGTGTTTTATAGGCGTGTGTGAGGGGACCCACATTTGTGGTGTCACCGCCCATATAAACCACTGAGGTGAGTGGGTGTGTGAGACCAGCACCTGTGGGCACGGAGTTGTGCAAGGCAGCCTTCTCAGTGGGCTAGGAGTCGCCTCCCAGCTCCTAGGGTCTTTACCCTTTCTGTGGCCAGAGATCCCTCCTAGCTACAGAGAACTCTTCCTGATGACCTTAAGTTTGCTTTCTACTGAAAATTTGACAATTCACCTGGATCCCTGAAGTTTTAGACGTTATTAGCTTAAGATCATCTTCCATTTGTGATCTTCTATTTACTGCTGCTCTTACCCTCAAACTAAGAAGATAACAAGGCAAAATCATATTTTCTCTCCCATTTTTGTACATTATTTTTTTAGTAGTGACTTCCAACTGACTTCCCGTTTGGGGTACAGGGTATTAAAATAAAGACATCTCAGAATAACTCTTTACGCTTTATGATGTCTCATGATGATTTAAAATTAGTTTTATTACAGAAGGCATCCAGTTCTAACTATATTCAAACTAAAGCTCAGGTTTTAAATGAATTTTCAACAATTTCATTTAAAATTATAATCTCCACAGGAGAAATAAAAGCAATTTTTAACTTTGTCTTCAAGTCATATTTATAATTATAACTGCCTATGAAGATTCTTTTCTAAATTATAAAAACACATTGCTTTTTATTAGGACTTTAATATACTCATGGTGTACAAATACATGTCTTAGCAAAACAGGAAATTCCAAGATAGTTATACTCCATATTGTTATTATTCAGTATACATACTGCACCTAGAATTTTACAATACAAATAGAAAATATCACCAATATGCTTTCTTACACTATTTCTGGAATAGATTCCTATAATTTTTATTTTGTAGAAGCTAAACATAGAAGCTCAGCGTAACTGTCATATATAGTCAGTAGGTTTAACAATCGCCTTAATTATACAGCAAATGATAGCTATCTTATGGTTTTAGTCACATGGAAGACAGTAGTAATCAGGTCAGACTCTATTAGACAAAGTTGAGATCACTGAAAACTAGGGCTACTGAGCATAAAGAAAAACATTTCAAATCTTTTATTTCCTAAATATTAAGGAAAAGCTATATCATGGCAGAAACAGGTTCATTAATGAAGTTAATGAGCCCATTAACTCACCCAAAGTGATCATCTTTCTTACAGATTGAGTGGATGATTCTCCATCTCCTCTAGGATGAAATTCAACTCCTCAGCCTGGTTTGTTAGGAGACTACCTTTCTAACCTGATTCTCAGCACAGGTCTTCCATCCAGTGGTTCTGAAGAAACTCCTTCCTACTTCCTTGATGTGGGAAACCCTTACAAGACTCCTGAGAGTTCCGCTAGGGCTATTACTATGGTCTGCCCAAAACATGTTCCTACCCTTCTCCTTGGTTCTTATCTCAAGCATTATTTAGTTCTGGAGGCTGAGGGTCCAAAATCAAGTGCTAGCCAATTTGCCTTCTGATGAGAGCTATAATCCTGGCTTGTTTCTAAAGTTGGCCTGGGGCTAGAGGACACTTTGAGAGGCTCGGTCTTGAGGTCATGGGTCAAGGTGAGGGTCTGGAGGATGGGAGGTGAAAATGGTTGGAGTGAAGTATGGAGAGCGTTCTCTGAGGTTGGAAGAGCTCTTCCATACGAGGCCTCCAGAGGTGAAACAGGATCTCTGATGGGTGCATAGGAGCCTTGCATGCCTCAGAGATGGGACTGGGAAGCTCAGCTTAGGGTTTGAGACCTGAGAGCTTAGGCCTGTGAGTTTTAGGGAAACACATGGCTTAGACAAGCAGCCTATTGGGGTGACCAGGGTGGGATGAATGAAGGCCTTAGTGCCTTCTCTGATTCTTCTGCAGTGTCTGAGGGTCCTGATCTTGGAACTTGTGCACGGACTTTAAGAAGCAACCGCACATATGTAAGAGGGAGTTCATCCTGAGTCAGCTAGGTGGGGCCTTAGAGGACACAAAACTCAGTCTAGAGAGAAACAAAGGAATGTGCCCTAGTGTCGTAAGCTTCCTTTCTATTAAAAGGTTTAGCATACTGGGCTATGATGAATGCCTTTATTCCCTCATAGACTTTGAATTGCTTTGGGCAGGAACTGGGTTTTGTGCATTTCCTTTCCTCAGCCCCAGTGCCTGTGCAACTCTGGGCAGTGATAAACATTTGTCCAATGATATTGAATCTGGAAGCCTCATTTTAGACTAGAAGCTTTTGTGTGGTAGATTTTTCTTTTACCACAAACTGAAAAATTGCATCTTAGTATAATTACCAGGTAATTACTCAAATCAATAATTTCATATAAGAAGAACAAATTCTTAGAAGACTCAGATAAGGCCACGAGATTGGCAGGAAATGAAAGCTTTGAGTGTAATCCCTCATATTTTGGGTGTGTGAAAATGGTAAGATATCAGAATTTCCTTTATTTGCTTTTAATTTCTGGTATAACAAGTGTCAGCTTATTCATGCCTCTTAGGATAATTTCCCCTCCCGTCCTTTATCTTATCGTGTGAGGCAAATTTGGGTAGAATACATATATTTTGCATTAACCAGGAGACTTTGCCCAGCACTTGATCAGATGTTGAAGGGAGGATCCGCTGGTCCAATGACAAGGGTGTTGCTGGCACCCAGGAGCGCCCGTGTTGGGGCAGGGATCCCTGCAGGCGGTTTTGGGTTCCGCAGTAGGAACGCGCCAAGCATTGTCTGCGAGGAAGACCCCACTGAGCTTTGGGCGAAAGGCGTGGCAGCGGGGGGGGGGGAGGGGCGTGGGAGAGCTGGCAGAGAGGGGGTGGCCTGGACAGCTTTCCCGCGAGCTAGCACCCGGCGCGGCCTCCGAGAAGCCTAAGGGCAGTCTTGGGCAGCTCCCCAGAGGTTCTCGCGGTGATAAAACTTGAGAAAAAACGAGGAGGGGCGGCTCGGCGTCTCCCGAGTCCAATCCTGTCTCAGGAGTGAAAACGCTCTCTGGCAGGCAAGCCTGAAAAAGGCCCGGGCGACGTAGCGAGCAGCTGAAAGAAGCGCACCTCCGCGCCGCTGCACCTCGGCGGGCTCTGGTCTCTTACGTCCCTCCCGGTGCCTGCGTCCTCCTCTCCGGCCCCGCACCCCGATGGCCGCCGCCGGGCCCCAGAGCTCCCTGCGCGGAGCTCTCTGCAGGCAGCTACTGCTGACCCTTGTGGTGAGTGGAGCCCGGGCGGGGTGGGGCGCGACCACCTACCCGGAGCCGGGATGCGGCAGGGGGTCGAATGGGCCCTGGGCCTGCAGGGGGAGTGGTGGGGGCGAAGCCGACCGAAAGGTGACATCCGCGGCTCAGCTCCTTCTTGGGGGTGGGGGCGGGGGGGGCACAGACAAGCCAGATTCGGGCTCTGAGGGATGAGGATGGGAAACGAGTCCTCAGCCAGTTCCGGACTGAGGGTTTTGTTTCGGACTTGTTCGATTGTTTGAATTACGGGATGGGCTCCCGCTTCGCTGAGCTCTCTCGTGCGCCGTGGCGAGTGGGCCGGCTTGGGGTTCGCGCTCCTTTCCTGGCTCCTAGGGCTGGTGATGATGGTTGGGGTTGGGTAGAGAGCGAAGAAGAGTGTTGGGTTAGGTTTTGGAGGATCCCTGAGTGAGTTACAGGGGCTGACCCCCTACCCCAGGGTCCCCTGGGATGGGGACGCTGGTGAGAGGAGGGGTTGGAGCGGTGCCCCTGGGTCCCGGCGTTGAGTTACTTCTGAAAAATGGCTTCCAGGTTTTGCCTCCGTTGAAGCAGCTCACCGGAGGGGTCCACCCCCGCTGGCCACCCGGAGTGTACCTGGGGCGCGAGGGCGTGCGCGGCTCGATTAGGGATGGGGGTTGGGTCGGCGGTGTGATGGGGGAGTTGGGTGGGGCAGAGGGGATAGAATCAGGCTGAGAGGAGTGTTGGGAGAGGCGTGGGATTGGGTGCTTCTTTGTCCGCCTCCAGGCAGGACTGCGCAAGCCCAGAGCCCAGCCTGGGGTCTTCTGTGCCCAGGAAACCTGAGGCCCAAGATGAGATCCACCCCGAGAGGAAGGTATGGACAAGTGTCGGAGAGCTCGCGAGACACAAAACGAAAAATCGGGAGCTCTGTGCGATTACGTGGAGCTGCGGGCGAGACCACTGCTTCGCTCAAGACGTGCTCTGGAAAGAAGCTGCGAACTCCCGACTGCCCCGCGCTTGGTCCGGTGGCGAGAGGACCAGCCTGACTCGGGAGCAGGTCGACTCTGGCTACTTGGATTCTTGCTGCTCAATGCCCCCAAGCAGGGCGTGTGGCTGCAAGCTTTGACCTCTTTTTGAATCATCGAGTTATGAATAATGGTTTAGTAGTTATGATCTAAGATGTATTTATAGACAAGAAATTGTACAGATGAGGGCGTCGACCTGTCAGGCAGCTGTTCCAACAAAATGAGCTGATGAAATGACTCTTTACAAGTGGGAACTGCTCTCAAAGTGTGCTCTTTTGTGATATCTTTGAAAGTATTTCCAGCTAATATGTTTAAAAGCGTGAATTTAGTGTTTTCTCTGCGAAAGGAATCCCGGAATGGGGAGAAGAAAACAGCGGAGGTGCTGTGTTCTCAAGATTTCTCGTGTATTCGCTGGAGGGGAGGGCGTGGAATGCGAGTAGCTGTCAGGGTGGCGGGGTGTGGTGGTGGGAGTACTGGGGCGCGGCAAGGCAGGAAGGTGCCTGTACATCTAAACAGGGATAGCATCAGCTTTAGTGTATGACTTCCTTTAGGATTATTTTTTAAAAGAATTTCCTAAAGTTTAGATTAAATGGTCTGTCTGGAGACTTGTATACTAGAGAGTGTATATAGAATAATTTCTTTCACCTGCAATCCCCAGTTTACAGACAACTTCAATTTCTGTCCAGACAGATAAATTAAGACTTCTGTTGACCGTCCTATATCTGTATTTCCTTTTGACTCCTAGGACTCTTCGGTATAATATTAAGGGCATAACATTTTAGAAATGCAGTTTTCATTTTATGGATCCCTTAATGGATTTCTTGAAGACAATTCCTTGTTTGAAGTGAGCTCTTCAACAGAAAACTGAGACTTTTAAGGTGTTAGCTTTCCCACTGAGCTGCCCCATAGGTTGTGGAATCTTCCCTTCTGCACTTTTCTCCTGAATCTGCATCCCTTTCCCACCTTTCTATCCTCAGTATACTCCAAACTGCTACAATTAACTACAATTCCTAATCATCCTTCCACACATACAAAGAAAAGGAAGAAAGGAGAGGGGGAAACTAGAAAAGAAACGTGTCAGATCATCCCATTATTGTTGAAAGCACTATCTCTTAAAATGTTTCTCCTTTTAAAGCAGCAAAATTGTTAGGAATTGTGAAAACTAATTCACATTAGCTCAGTTGCTCAGATGTCTTCTGCCCTGTTATAAATAATGAGATCCTTTTACATGTGTGTTGAATATTGTTTGCCATATCAAATCCACTTTGGGAATTATATTTACTATTATATATTATAAATGGTATGTACTTGGACATGGTTAATCTATCACTTGCTAAAAGGGCTCTTCAAAAGGAATTAAAATAGTATTTTTCTTTATAACATAACATGCTTTTCCCCTTGGAGTATGTGAAATTCTGCCTGTAACCTATGTTGACAAATGGGCATTCTATCTTTTCAGACTTTATAGCATTTGAGAATAATGTGACTCCTTTAACAGACTTTTTTGTTATTATTGTTCTTGATAACATTTGACATATTCAATTTTTAAAATAAAAGTGAGTATAATACTTTCTATTATCTTTTGCATTAGTGGGGAAAAAAGCTTAGGACAAATAAAATAAGTAAATGCGAACTGGTTTATTTCAAAACCACGATCTTAAGGAAGTCAGAATTGTATATATTTATATCAGTGCATTATCACCTACCTTCTTTAATGGAGATTATTGGTGCTCATATTGAGATACAGCTAAATGGTGCAGCACTCTCTGAGTCACTAAATACATGTAAGCTGTGCACATTTTTTGGCCCTGTTGTAATCCTTGTGGCAGTTGCCATCCCATATATGGCGTCTCTGGTGACCTGCAGCTAATCATACTTTGCATTTAACTAGAATCCCATCATACAGAGTTTGGTTAGAAAGAAATTTAGTAGAATCATCAAAGCACTGAGAATACAGAAAGGTAAATCCTACAATTCAGGGTGGTAATAACTTGAAAGATAAGATTTCCGTCTTGAAGATGGCAAGTGTCCACAGGAGAAACGACGAATTGAAAATTCTGTAACTGATATGCTCAGTCAAGATCTCCTTTATGTTTCAGATACTCTATAAATTTCTGTTCTTTGGCTTCTTTTTCCTCTATTGAAAAAGGTGTTATTTTAGAAAGCGTACCTTGCGTATTCACTCTAAAATTGAACAACAGCACAAAAATGAAACACTGGCAGGTATGCCTGTGTTTTCACTCTCCCTTTGGCATTAGATAGTTCTATCAGGATTTAATGATTTGTATGATAAGCTTTCTATGATACAATTAATACAATTTGGACAGTACTGTAAAGTGAAACAAATCAATTCATTTTTCCCAGACTAGAGTAAATAATACTTTATATTATCATTTTTTAAAACTTAATTTGTTACATTTTAATTTAAAGTTGCTCGCAACTCTAAGTTTTATGTCAGATGTTTAAAGTTGTCCTGGAGGGTTCTTCATTAAAATAAATTCTTTTATAACTCAAATAGTCAGTCCATAAGTCATTAATCTTTAAAAAAATTTTGTATGTTGTATTTTTTTGTTGGGCACTCATCTGTACAAAAGTTACTTTGAAAATACCTTTAAAAGTCATTAGTTCATCATTGCTAATCTAATGGTGGTTTTATTTTATTTTATTTTTTTCTTTATTTTCAGTAATATATCCAATCTTTATAATTCAGGAAACATGGCATAACTGAAATCTATATATGAATATCATCCTTTCCAATATCAATCCCTTATATTAATGAATTAATTGTACCTGCTTTCCAGTGATGTACTATACAGCCATGAATATGAATGGGCTGCTGCTATATATTCAGCATGGATCTATTTCACAAACATAATTTGAGAAAAGAAATCAAGTTGCATATAATTGGCATGTGACTACATATATTTAAAGCCTAACGTTGGCAAAACAAACCAATCTTCTTTAGGGATACATACTCATGGGATAAAATTAAGCAGAAATGGGGAAGTAAATGATTTACAAAAAAATATCATTCATTATTGATATTTGGAGAGGTTGAAGTCAGGAAGAAAATGCAGTTAGGGAGAGTTATATAGGCACTTTGAAAATAATAGTAATGTTTTATTTCTTAACTTTGAAGGTAAGTGCCCTAGTGTTTCTTTATTATTTCTTAAAATACATGTGTACTTAGAATATGTCTTATGAAGAACAGTTAAAAAAGGAAAAAGAAACAAGCAATATAGAGGATTAGCAAAACCAAATGCTATCATTTGAAAGTACAGACCAACCTGCTATGACTGAACAAGTGAAAAATAGAGAAGGCACAAATAAGACAATATTAGGAATAAAAAGAGGCACAGTTATGGAGAGGACAGATGTTTTAAAAAGTAGATAATATTAATATATTATTCTAGTTCATTTGAAAAGAGACAAAACAGGCAATTTTGTACAAGATACAAATTACAAACATTGACTCGAGGAGGTATACAAACAGTAAATAGACTTATAAAGACACTGAATTGGAAGCCAAATGTCTCCACATACACACACTGTCATATCCATCAAGCCCAGACCTGAGATAGGTTAATTTTTCCGTAATTATATGGAACAGATAATCTCTACCTTATATTCATTGTTTCAAAGAACAGAAAAAAGTGGAACTCTCCCTAACTCATTTTATGAGGATGGTATGAAGTTGAAAAGTCGTAGCCTGATCTTACTTGTGGACGTATATTTGAAATACTAAAATAAGTGGCAGCAAACAAAACCAATAATGTATTTTTAAATATGTAAGGACCTATTTATGGAATTTCAGTTCCATTCCATTCATCTATATGTTTGTCCTGACACTAGTACCACTCTGCCTTGATTATTGTATTTTTGTAGTAAGTTTTGAAATTGGGAAATCCTTCAACTTTGTTCTTTTTCAAGTTTATTTGGGTCTTTGGGTCCCTTGCATTTCCTCAAGGATTGATTTTTAATTTCTGCAAAAAAAGCTATTTGGGATTTCAATAGGGAGTGCATTGAATTTGTTAGGTGAATTTTGGGAATATGTTTTTTAATCTATGAAGATGGGATATCTATTGTGAATAGAATTGTTTGCTTAATTTTGTTTTCAGATTTTTTTATTGCTAGTATATAGGAAAACAATCGGTTTTTGTATGTTGACCTTGTATCCTGCAACCTTGCTGAAACCACTTATTATATTTTTTTGATAGTTTTTAGTGGATTCCTTAGGATTTTCTATGTACAAGATCATATCATTTGAAAATAGAGACTATTTTATTTCTTCTTTCCCAATCTGGATGCCTTTAATTTTATTTGTGTGTGTGTGTAATTGCCCTGGCTAGAACCTCCAGTACAATGTTGAATAGAGGTGGTGAGAGTAGGCATCATTGTCTTGTTCTTTATGTCAGAGGAAAGGATTCAGTCTTTCTCTGTTAAGTAGGATGTTTTTCATAGATGCCCTTTATCACACTGAGCAAAATCTCTTGAATTCCTAGTTTGTTGAAAGTTTTTAATTGTAAGTCGGTGTTGGATTTTGTCAATTGCTTGCATCTATTGAGATGATCATATGGCTTTATTCTTTATTCTTTTTTAAAAACTATGTTATTGAGGTGAAATGGACACACAAAAAGCTGTGCATATTCAATGTACACCACTTGATGAGCTTGGAGATAAGTATGTACCCATGAGAACATCATCACCATCTATCCCATAAACATATCCAAAAAAAAAAAAAACCATATCCATTACCTCCAAGTTTCCTTTCACCTTCTCTATATATTATTATTATTTTCTTTTGGTAAGAACACTTAACATAAGATTTACTCTCAGCAAAAATTTTAAGTATACAATACAATATTGCTAGCTGTAGATCTCTGGGACTTATTTATCTTGCATATCTAAAACTTAGTTCTTTATTCTATACTGTATTAATGTGACCATTTTTTCCTAGGTCTTCAGTTTTGCTTGTGAAGCTTGCAAAAAGGTGATATTTCATATACCTTCCAAACTAGAGGCAGACAAAGTGGTTGGCAGAGGTGAGCAATTTCAAAACAGTGTTTTTTTGTTTTTGTTTTTGTTTTTGTTTTTGTTTTTTTGCGGTACACGGGCCTCTCACTGTTGTGTCCTCTCCCGTTGCGGAGCACAGGCTCCGGACGCGCAGGCTCAGCGGCCATGGCTCACGGGCCCAGCCGCTCCACGGCATGTGGGATCTTCCCAGACCAGGGCATGAACCCGTGTCCCCTGCATCGGCAGGCAGACTCTCAACCACTGCGCCACCAGGGAAGCCCAAAACAATGTTTTTAAAACAGAAATTTAATTTACTTATGCTGGAAAGAGCATGTTATCCAATCTTTGCCTTTTGGAATTAGCCAGAACCAATAATTAGATACAAGTCAAGTTTAAAATATATGTTCTGTTCTTTAGAACTCTATAGAATTCTGTCATCGATTCTAATGAACATGTGCTAATCCATGCTTTTGTAGTCACTTATGTTTTAACAATAAAACTTACATAAAGAATTACATGTAGAATGTAGCCCTTTCATTCCTCTAGGATTCTAAGCACTGGAGAGATATAGGTAAGGACCTGAGAGAATCAGAGCAGTATTTTTATCAACGCCATAGCTGCAGTGAGAAATATAACAAGGTGAACTATTCCATTCAAAACTGCACTTAATCAGCCATTTGCACACTTGAGAAGTTAGGGAACCTCAACCTTTCCCAACAGCTGGGATGCTCTGCCCAGGTGGACTTTCCCTGTGGTACAGGGAATACTGGAGGAAAGCATCATGTTTTTTTCAGAGATATAGCTTGTCCCAGAGACGCCACATTAATTTTCAACAGAGTGTCCCATTTCTGGGAAGGAAGAAAGGAGAGGATGTAAAGAGAAGTCGGAGGTGTTCCTCCAGGGGAATAGACCAGAGGTTATCACTCTGCTAAAAATGTGAACACGAGAGAAATATGTCATCACTTCTAAAGATGTTCACTTCATTTTGACAACGTTTCCATCTGTGACAGATTTGGATTAAAGTGAAAACACTATACATGGGTAACATGAATCTTTTGAGATGATATTACTTAAGTGAGTATTAGGTTATTACTTAAGTGTGTATTAATGTAACAGTTTGGTTTCTGTCAAAGCAGATAGTGGAAGAATGGGATGGATTTGATACTTTTGATATAAGTATCAAAACACTTGTATGATACTTATATTTTATGACTTTTCACTTGGGAAAATTCCCAGGGAGAGAGGATTCCACATAGCATTTCACTGGGGAGCCCGGGAAAGCAAGGAACAGGAACACAAAGAGAACTCTGGGCCCCCGGGGCGTTGTTGAGGGTTGGGGGGGATGTGACAGAAAAGTGCTAGTGAGAAGAATTTAAAGATTTTTCTTACTTGACTGTTTGCCAAACTCATATACTCTGTCACCCTTTGTGTGTAACTTCTGGCTTAACACAGGTGTACCTTAAAAGAATCAGACTATATTGTTAAGGAAAACTTTTCTGTTTGTTTATCCAGGTGTGTGGGCGGGCATGTAGCTCAGCTTTGTCATGATTGCAACACACAGACGTCTTTAATAGGAAGATCATTTTCATAAGCCTCTTAGAAGCATATAAAGGTTTAAAACACCTTACTTAATACAAATATACAATCCAGAATTGTCATTTTTTTAACAGGGAAAGTATTATCACTTTAAAAAAATACATGTAAGGAGTCTTGTTAAGATATTTGATAAATGCAGAGTGATTGGTTCATTTCATTTCACTTCAGGATTTTGAAGAAGGTTGTATAAATTATTTTAACACTGTCTTTCTTTTTGCATGTGTTTCTTACTTTACAACGTGGAAATTCCTACTTGCAGTTAATTTGAAAGAGTGCCTCGGATCTGCAGACCACATCCAATCCAGTGATCCTGATTTCAGAGTTCTAGAAGATGGGTCAGTATACACAGCCCATGCTGTTGTGTTGTCTGATGAGAAAAGATCTTTCACCATATGGCTTTCTGACTCAAAGAAACAGACACAGAAAGAGATTCCTGTGCTCCTGGAGCATCAGAAGAAGGTATTCAAAGTACACTGATATTTTCAGGCATGTTTTTCTCATGTAAATACTCTCATTAAAGGTTGCAAAGAAGACAGAAGAAAAAATAGGATTTATTTTCCTCATCTTTTCTCTTCCTTCTGTTTGCTTTCCCTTCCTTCCTCCTCCCTTCCCTCCTTCTCCTTCCCTTTTCAACACTGATTAGACATTGGATCTTACTCTGTTAAATCTAAATGACACCTCCTCTGTGAAGGTTTCTTCCACCGCTAAAGTCTACTTGCTTTTGTGTGCCAGTGTCAGTTTGGTTATCCCTCTGTTGTAGCATTGGGAATTTTTTATTAGCGCAAACAATTTACCTGTAGTTGTTTAAGGGCATGAATCAATCCCTTTTGTGTTTATAGCCTCATTTACACCAGACCCATAGTCAATAGGTACATGTTAAATTAATATTAAGTGCAGTAGTTCCCAGTGAATGAGAGGTTGATTTCAAGTGCCACAGTGATTTTGATGTTAAAATAGGATGGAAATCCTGGAGTTTGTATGCGTCTGAATGGTATTAGCCACCACTCAGTGATTGTTGACTGTAGTTCTAAATTCCATGTCATGAGGAATGCCATTGTGAAAGTACTCGAGGAATGCCGTTGTGAAAGTACTCACTGGATTACAACTAATCGATGTGAAGTGTATTAATGAAAAAGTCATCTAAATGCTTAAATGACTGCTTAGATGGAAATCACTAAAAACTCCAATAGTACTTTCTACAGTGATGGAAATGTTCTGTAATCTGCACTGTGTGATATGGTCACCCAATATTAATGGCTACTGCTACTTAGCATGTGGCTAGTACAACTGAAGGGTGGAATTTATATTTTATTTAGTTCTAATTAGTTTAAATAGTCACATGTGGCTTGTGGCTACCATATTGGACAGTGCAGGTAGAGTGTTCAGGCAATGAAGAACATGCATTATCTCACAATAGTTCACCTGAGAGCATGAGACTTTAGCAGAAAGAACAAGTAAGTACTGTCTATAGACTGGCTGAAAGAGGATGTGTTCTCCATCTCATTTTGGGATGGAACAGGAAGAACTGAGAGTACAGTGATAATTTTCCTAACCTGAAAGTACGGTCAGTGTTGGAAAGGTATGTGAAATTAAATTCTTTGGTTCATGAAACCTTTAAAGTCTGGATACATTCTTTCTTATCCTTCTAACACAAAGAAAACCTTATTATCTGGTCTTTAGTTTCAGCATGGAAATTCCTGACACTGAGCCTTCAGAGAGGTGTTAGATTTATGGTCCATCCACTATTTTACAATGAAGTAGGCTGTGATGCTTTTGTTTATTGTTAATTTTCTTTCTCTAAATTCAGGTACTGAGGAAGAGACATACTAAAGAGACTGTTCTCAGGCGTTCCAAGAGGAGATGGGCGCCTATCCCCTGCTCAATGCTAGAGAATTCCTTGGGCCCTTTCCCTTTGTTCCTTCAACAAGTAGGTATTCCATTCCTTCTGATTGGGATTGCTAAATTAGTTCCAAGAGTCTGTTGTCCAGGTTTTAATAACTCTTTAAACATTTAAAAATCAACAGATTTGATTGAAGATATTCATGGAGAGTCATAAAAGTACATAAAATGGGAAAATCACTAAAAAGCTAATAATGAGAAAAACTAGAAAATCACTAAAAAACTAATAATAATAATATGAGAAAGACTCTACAGCCATTAAATGATCTTTATTAGTTTATTCATTCACTTAGCAGCCGGTTATTGAGCACCTACCCTGTCCTGTGGAAGGCACTGCTCTAAGTACTGAAGCTAGAAATACATTTAGTCATGGCCTTTGCTCTCATGTATTTTATGAGTCTAGTGAGGAAGATAGAAGTAGGCAAATGATTGCAATACTGCATGATGAGTGCTGAGATGGGGCTGGGTTGTGGTGATTTGAGAATTCATAGGCTGAAATGCTGTAAAAAACAGAAAAAAGACTTAGAGGGGGAGGCATCTGAGCTAAAGCCTGAAGGATGGGAGAGTGTCATGCAGGTAAATCACTGTGGCAGAAGAGAGGGGGACAGAGGTGCAAGCCAGCATGGCTCCTCGCGGGAGCTCACAGAGCTTAGTCTTCCTGTGTGTGATGGGCGTGGAGCAGGGAGATGGGGCAGAAGAGGCAGGTAGGGTCCACCCAGAATTGGCCAGGTGTGCTCTGCTAGATAGTTTAACTTTTTCCTAAAAACAAGACGTTTTTAAGCAGGGTCAGGTTTACTTTGCATAAAGATCCAAATGGAATATACACAATGGAAATAATGACTGAGGTGAGGCTATGGCATTATGCTTGCCTTTTTCCCTTAAATTTCTATTACTGTGGTTGATGTTTAATACCAGTGGTGCCACCTGTGTCCTACTTGTTTATGTTTTTAACTATGCTTCCAGTGTCTTTCACACTTGTAGAAAATTCTATCCAGTTCTGGACCCTTGTTTCTTCTCTTAGATTATTGTACTTTAAGCACTGGTGAAAGCATATTAAGAAATGATTTCTGTTTACCAAACTTATACTGATCAGAGGTAATTTTGGTCTTTGCACTGTTAAACCAATCACCACTTCGAGTCCTCATTTCCTTGTCGTGTGTCCATTTGATTTAGCTGACCTGTCCCTCCTCCTTCACGTCGCTTCTAGGACAGCATTCACCTAGTTTTCCACTTTTCTCACTGGCCACTCCTTCTTAGTATGTTTCGCTGGCTCTTCTTCATTCCCACATCCTCCCAACCCTCACCACCCTGACCCCTCAGTCTCTAAATTTGGAGAGCTCCAGGGCTCAGACTGTGAACCTTGTGTAATGTTTATTTATATTCACTCTCTCTCGGTGATCTCATCCAGCCTCGTAGCTTTAAGTACTTTTTTTTTTTTTTTTTTGCGGTACTCCGGCCTCTCACTGTTGTGGAGCACAGGCTCCGGATGCGCAGGCTCAGCGGCCATGGCTCACGGGCCCAGCCGCTCCGCGGCATGTGGGATCTTCCCGGACTGGGGCACAAACCCGCGTCCCCTGCCTCGGCAGGCGGACTCTCAACCACTGCGCCACCAGGGAAGCCCCTAAGTACTTTTTATACATTGGAAACTTAAGACTTCATATCTGCAGCCCAAATTGCCTAATTAATATTCCCACTTGGAATTTCAGTAGACATTTCAAACTTAACGTATAAAAATCAAATGTTTGCGTTTTCTTATAAAAAATATCCTCCCCTCTCAGTTAATGGCAGCTGCATCCTTTCAGTTCTTGGGGCAGTAGAGTCCATTCGGTAAGGTTTTAGTTGTGGAGAGCACAATTCTCTTTAAGGAATTAACAGAGGGATTTACTATAGTGTATTAAACAGTTTACAGGATTGTTGGGAAGGCTCAAGAAACAGACTTTAGGTTGAATTTTCAGGAACGAATCTCCTAGTTACCCCACAGAATCTATAACCAAGGGACATACTGCTTTCTTCATGATGGGGAAGCCAGTCATTTTAGAGCCAAAGTGCCACTGCCATGGTCAAGAAGCTGCACTGGGCAAGGAACCACCACAGGCAGGAAGCTGCTCCTCCAACTGCAGCTCCAAAACAATCTTAACTGCTACCATCAGTGTTCACAAAAAGATTGATCTATATCCTGTCTCTCAACATCCACGAAGTCTGTGAAAAACCATTAGAACTTCTGCTGCTGCAGGAAAAAAGAAAAAAAAAGTTGCACCAAAAAGAGCCAGCAAAAACAGTAGAAGCAGCAAAAATGAGGCATCTGTCTCCCTTATGGCTTCCAAATTTCATGCAAGCATACCTGACTGTCTGTATTTTAATTCAGAACTCTTGTTCCAAGAGACCCTGGAAAAGGGAGAGTTTTTGGTTTGTTTTTATCTGAATCTTTCTAATATCTACACTATGAGAGGACACAGTAGAAGGAGGTGAAATCGATGTTGAGCCCCAGTTTACCATATCCATCCATTCTTTATAGTTAAAATTTTAATTCCTCTATTATAATAGGATAAGGATATAGCCACATTTTACCAAGATCTCAAATCATAGTGGCTAAAGCATGACAGAGATTTAGTCCTTTCATGTCAACGTGTGATCTGGTAAAGAGATTCTAATTTGAGAAATCACCAGGGGCCCAGGCTTCTTTCCGTTTTAAGCTTGGCCATCCTTCCAGGTTGAAGATGGCTCATCACTGTGTCCCACTGAGGGAACACACTTCTCCACTTTCTAGAGTACAGTCTGGATCCTGCATGTATTATTATTATTATTTTGCGGTACGCGGGTTTCTCACTGTTGTGGCCTCTCCCGTTGTGGAGCACAGGCTCCGGACGCGCAGGCTCAGCGGCCATGGCTCACGGGCCCAGCCGCTCCGTGACATGTGGGATCTTCCCGCACCGGGGCACGAACCCGTGTCCCCTGCATCGGCAGGCGGACTCTCAACCACTGCGCCACCAGGGAAGCCCCTGCATGTATTATTTTTGCTCACACCCTATTGACCTGACCTTTTTGTGTGGTCATACCTAATTGCAAGGGAGACTGAGAAAAGTCTTTCTTCCAGGCAACCTTGTGCTCAACTGTAAATTCTAATACTAAGGAAGGTAGGCAGAATAGACATCAGGGGATACTTGCACCCACTGACACAGTGTCATCCCTGACTTCTTTCTTCACACCACGCAGCCAACCAACTGGCACATTCTGTTGGCTGTATCTTCAAATTATATCCGGAATCTAACCACTTCGCACAACCCCTATGGCTACCACGCTGGTCTAACAAACAGTCCTCTCTCCCCTGAATTCTTGCAGTAACTTTCTAAATGGCCTTCCTGCTTCTTCCTTTACCTGCCCACCCAAGTCTAATATTAACAGAACACCAAGAATTCTCCTTCTAAAATATAAATCAGAGTCTACTCTTGTCTAAATTCTCCAATGGCTGCCCGTCTGACTCCAAGCAGAAGTCACCATCCTTGGAATCTCTTACATGCCGTGTGGCCCTATTGCTGCATTCGTCCTCCTCTCCGACCTCCTTTTCCCCTAGTTCTGTCTATTCCAACCACAGTGGCCTCCTTGCTCCTTGAACACTCCAGGAACGACCCTGGTCTGGTTGTTTTGCACTTCCTGTTTCCTCTGCCGGGAAGAGTCTTCCCTGTTTATTCTCATTCTTTTAATTTTTGTTAATTCCCCTCCCTAAGGAACATTACAACTGGCATTCCTTTCAGCAGTATATGAGAGTCCCTGTTTACCTCACCCCTGTCCACAGTGGGTATTATTGTTTTTTTCCTACCTTTGCCAAATCACTAGATGGGAAACTGTGCCTTAATATGAGGTTGTCTTTGGCTACTATTTATGTTGAACGTTGTCTTCATTAAATTTGAGCAGTTTAAAAAAATCTTTTGCCAAATTACCATTGTTCATTACCATTTTGCATGTTGATGAAGTGACAAAGGTGATTATTATATTATTAAAGTCATCTCTTTAAAATAAAAAAATATATAAACATATACGTTGTATTTAAAAATAGCATTTTCATGAAAAATTTTTTACATATGCTTTTTCCTCTTAGGTCCAATCTGACGCGGCACAGAACTATACCATCTTCTACTCAATAAGTGGGCGTGGAGTTGACCAAGAACCTTTAAATCTGTTTTTCATAGAAAAAGACACTGGAAATCTGTATTGTACCCGGCCTGTGGATCGTGAAGAATATGATGTTTTTGATGTAGGACTTTTATTGATACACATAACTTTAAATGATTAAACTATAATCATAGTTTAAACTAAACTTCTGATAGCACATCTACTCTTTCCTGTCTTCTGAACTCCTTCTTAGAGGGGATCTGAAAGATGAAATAGATTGTGTAATATTTTGGAATACTTGGTCTGCTCTTTTTCTCAACTTGTATTAGGTAAGCCTCAAATGAAGCCAAGAAATTTAATTGTATTTGGATGTAAATTCCAGCAAATTTGCAGGAGTTGGTTTTGCTTATGAGATTCTCTTTCTCTTTCTGGTCGTGGTACTTCCTCCTCTCTCCGAGACAGGGTCACAGTTGATTGGAAGGGTCCTCTTCTAGTGTCCCTCTTCTGCTCTGTGTTTTCTGTTTTTCCTTTTTTGGTCTTTGTTCCACCTGTCTAATTATCTGATGATATCTGAGAAGTATATAAGGAAGCAAAACTGGGAGACCAAGTCCAAACAAGGCATAATAAGCCAGCGTTCTGATGTGGATGAACTTACATCAATGGGGAATCATTCAGACAATTTTCAGTGTAATATGGTCAATGCTCTGGGGTCATGTGGTACGGGGGAACCGATTCCCCATAGGAAAGAGGGATTCTCTTCCTAAAAGAAGAGGGAAGAGATGCTGGGTAAGTAAACTTGACTGATGTTCACCACATGACATTTCTTTGCTTTTGGCTCGAAAATTTTCAACTCAGTGTTATAATCACATGCTGAATAGAAATACGTTCTATTTGTCCACCGATAGGGGTCTAGTTAAATAAATTACAGTATGTCTATGTGGTAGATTATTAGACTGCCAATAAATCCCATTTTCAAAGCATGTTTAAGGGCTTTGGGAAATGGTTACAGCATAAAGTCAAGTTTGTTTGCTTTTTGGAAAAAAAGGATATAAGCTTACAGTAGTATGATCTCAATTTTTGTGTACAAATATATACACAGAAGGGACTGAAGGAATACATCAAATGTGAACAGTACTTATCTCTGGGTAGTAGGTCGTGGATTTTTATTTTCTTCTTTTGTACTTTACTGAATTTTTAAATTTGTCATGATAAGGAGGTTTCTTTTATAATTGAAATAGTGTACTTTTAACTATGGAAAAATTGTTTATTTTAAAAAATCATTTAAAAATGAAAAAAAGAAAGAAGTTCTATTTGACATTACATTGCTTTTGATTAATTAGTAATAGGGAAACTGTTAAATGTATTTTGTTAGAAAACCTCTTACAAATATGTGATCTATGAGGTTAAACAATAAAGGGGCTCAGTAGTGACAAAGTTGGGACTCATTGCCTTATTTAGATGATATAGTCAGGATTTTCCCCATTGCAGGGAGGTTAACTGTTCTTCCCAATACAATTTTATGATTATGGGGAGAATAAGGACTGTAATCCACATCTCCAAATTCACATTTAACTCCTTAGTCTCATGACCTGAGTAGTCTATGATTCTCTGTACTCTGACCTAGGTTTTATTTGAAGTGTAGCCACTTCTACCAAACATTGGATACTTTTAACTGTAGTTAAAGTCTTTCTACGTTTGATGTTTTGATAACTAAAGAAGCATTGAATAGGAATTTTTGAAGTGATTTATTATTGAAAAGATTTGCAGAGAAGGTAGTAGATAAAGCATAATATTCTTTCACGCTGGAATCTTTTATAATGGACTGTTGAACTTGCTTTTCACTGTTTTACAGCTGATTGCCCATGCGTCAACTGCAGATGGGTATTCAGCAGACTTACCTCTTCCACTGCCCATCAGAGTGGAGGATGAAAATGACAACCACCCTATTTTCACAGAAACAATTTATAATTTTGAAGTTCCAGAAAGCAGTAGAATTGGTAAGACAACTTTTAGGAGTAAAATGTGCTATGTTAAATGTTTATATACTTTGTTTGAGAGGTTGAGTTTTTGCTCAAAGCCAGATCATCCTGAGATGACACTGGACCAAGAGGTACTTACCAGAATACATTTAATCCTATCAAATCTAATCAATGTGTAATTTACAGGGTATTATAGGAGTTTGTAGTGTTGTTGGTATGATACCAATGAATTATAAAGGCAGATAACAGTTATTCAAGCTTTGTACCATATTTGGTTTATATACTTTATTTCATCTTATTATTATGTGGGTTTATCATTATTCCTAGCTCCAAGGGAGGACATGCAGGGTAGAATGTACGATAAAACTAAAATCAATGTAGATAGTTTTATTAGGTTTTATTTAGGCAGGTGTTGAATGATGTCCCCTGAGGATACAATTTTTTAAGCTCTTATCTATATTGTCTCTTCTCTTTAAACTACTACTTTACTACTTCCAATTTAGAGTGAATACCGGAATAACTTTAGAGAAACTTGCATTGTGTGTTCTCCATCCTAAACACTTGCTCTCACATGTGGAAAACCAAAGCGTTTCACTTCAATAGGCCCTTAAATGTGGCATTCTTAATGTCTTCTGAGACTTGCAATATGGAGAATAACCACTCACAATAAAGTTGAAAGGAAGTGAACTCAACCATAGAGGATTAGCTAACTTGCTTATTAAAGTTTCTAGGAGTTACTTAGATCTTCACTGGATTGTTGTAACTGCTCTTTCCTTTTATATTTTAGTTTGATAATTTGATCTCATAGATGTTAACCTCTTTATTACTCACATGGTACAATTTAAAAAATTATTGTTGCTTTGGAGTTTAAGAAACCTAGTTTTTGATTCAGGGTCTGTTATTATTTCACTGTGGGAACTCATGGAAGTTCCTTTGAGTTCTCTGATCTATAAAATGAGTTAATTATGTTTGATGACTTACAATGTTTTTAACCTCACAAGTCTATGACTCTTACATTTTTCTGTTTTCAAAGAGGGATGATTGGTTTTAGACTCTTCCTTGAACATTCTGTTCTCTTTGGTAGTAACAGAGAAGGATCTAGGGCAAACACTTTGATGCCCAGATTAACCCAGAATACTTTAAACATATCACACCAGTAGGTTCAGCCCTGTTAAGGCTGTGGTACTCTGAAGGTGTTCTTTGAGTTTGCCTTAACTCACACACAGAGGGTCTGGACAAAGGGTGCTCAACGAATAGTGAAATATAGCACTCATGGAAAAGAATTTTCAAGTCAAGATTTTAGGAAGGTTTTATGTAATAAGTAAAGGAGCTCTGTATCCAGAGAATTAAAATAGTGTTTATGTCTTCCTGACTGTCAATGAAATTGCAGGAAGAAAATGTATGTCTTATAAAGATTATAAACATTTTTCTATGAAAAGATAATTTATTTTCTTATAATAATAAGATTATTACTTCATGTCTTCATATTGATCCACTGCAGAAATCTTTCTGTTACTTTTAAGTATGTATTTGGACATTCTCTACAAATTTATATCTATATCTATGTATACATATATATGTATGCACATATATATACTTAAGCACACATATACACACATATATAAAGTTTAAGGATATAATGACAAAATTATTTAAAACTAATACTTCCTTGCATTAATAGTTTTACTTGGCTTTTATTTCCCTCAAATATAAAATTTCAATGAATATATATATATACATATATATATGTATATGATTGTATGTCTCTATGTATTGTTCCTCAGGCCAACCTCACATACAGGGCTATAGGCAAAGTGGTTCTATGTATTATAATTTCATGGGCATTGGAACACTATCCTTAGACTATAAAAATACCACCTGTATGTACTCTTTGATACCTGAAGGCCTTTACCAGAGCAATATTCTTACTTTCCATACTGATGAAAAATACTAATAGCTCTAACTGCAGAAACAGTTAAATTAAATTCTCCCTGAGTGGTAAATAGTATGAAATAAGATTAAGTGGGGCTGGGGGCAGTGAGGTTTGGATACAAATCTGGTGAAAGAGCAGGAAGCAAATCAAGAACTAGCAAAAAATGGAATAGAAAAGAGACTGAGATGTGAAAGGTCAACTTCATCATCTATCCAGTTATAACCCAAGTCAGCCTTGATTTAGTTATTAATCAAAACTTTGATTTTAAAAAATCTGATTTACTTAGGAGACATGGTTTCTCTCTCCAGCTTGGTTAGCTATTGCAGTATGTGGGAATATGTGTTGAAATTATTCTTGGATGCCATTTAAATAAGTTTTTAATAAATTTACTATCAAATAGTTTAAGCTGTGGGCAAACTAAGAGTAAGCCTTGATTCTCAGCATCAAAGTGTTTCATATTATAAATTTGAAGTCATCTTCATCAGTACTATGTAAAGATGGTAAGAAATACATTGTAAATGAGGTTTCCACCATCACTGTTAGAATTTGAGAAGTGTAGATATGCCTAAACATATTTTGCAGTTCTGGAAAGTAAAGACTCTTTTTTTAAACATGTAGGTACTACAGTGGGAGTGATTTGTGCCACGGACAGAGATGAACCAGACACGATGCATACGCGCCTGAAGTATAGCATTTTGGAGCAGACGCCAGGATCACCTAGGATCTTTTCTGTGCATCCCGGCACAGGTGTAATCACAACTGTCTCTCATTATTTGGACAGAGAGGTAGCTTTCACAATCTGTAGATTATCATTTTACTTGGGGTTGAACCCACCACCCCCAATTTACTATAATTTGCTATCCTGTGGATTAGGAGTTTCTCATTTTATTTTATTTAGGCATAAGACAGTAAGAATTCCTGGCTATGTTACCTGTTTTTATATTATTTCTATTTCCTTATGTAAGAGAAACCATGAGGAATAGAAATAAAGATCAACTGGTGTTCAGAAGGGGTGAGAAAAAAAGATATTGCTATGAATGTTGATATTATTGAATAATACTTTATTTCTTGTGTATGGCTAGTTGGTTCCAGCTCAATTCTCATGTAGGACAATTAGTGTTGCTTGTTCCATGGGTATAGATTATACCCTGATCCCTATCCAGTTATTATAGATGTGTACTTTTAATCAGGAAAGGATTAGTTGAGATAAAGTTGATAGATTATTAAAAATCTGTAACACTATTTGGATGATAGTAATAGCATATTTTTACGTGTATAGCATTTGATGTTCAAATTCTTTATGCATAATTTGATCTCATCTTTATAATTTCCTTGTTTGATTAGATAGAGGTCATATCCAATCTATAGGGGAGAAAGGTGACAGAAGGATTGATTGACTTGCCCAGGTCAAATTACTGCACTGAATCTTCTGATCTTGCTCTTGTCCATTTCATCAGCCCATATTTAACTCAGAGTCTTGTATTATTGACTGAGGCAGATCAATCAATTTCATATGTACAAAGTAGCTTTATTAGAACACTTCAGTGGTTCCCACTAAAACTAGAATAACATAAATGGAAGGATCGATATGACTGGGAGAGATATTATAAAGAAGAAATCAGCAGGATTTGATGTTAGAGCGAAAGGGAGAGATGGTGAGAACCTATAAAAAAGAATAAAAAATAGTACAAAGGTTTTATTTATTATTATTTTTATTTTTGTGGGGTCAGGACATGCTATGTGATAAAATACATAATGGCCATAATAAATGGGAAAGTTTGAAGGGAACAATGCGAATGTGTTTTGAATCTGTGGAATATTTAGAGATGATATGGTAATCAAGTGAAAGCAAGGATTTTTCCTAATTTTTCAATATTGACAAATGAGGCTTAGAGAAATTAAATAAGTTAAGGTTACACAGCTTGTAAGATACAGATTTGGGGTCAAATCCAGATGTGCTTGCTTGATCAGAAAAAATATAGTGGGATTTTGTGGGGAACAACCATGAGGTGTGTTTTAGGGGGACAATACAGGAAGTAAAGAAATGAACAAGGGAGCTAGAGAAACTGCATTTAGAGGAAGAAAAAGCAGGGTCTCAGAGAGTGCTGGAGCCTGTGGAAGGAGCGTTTTGGGGTGGGAATGTTGGTTTCCACCGTGAAAGAAGGATGCGTAAAATAAAGACCAAGGAAGGGAGAGAGGGAAATAGAAAATGAAGAACACAAGGAGTGGCTAAAGAAGAGTAAAATAGAAGGAAAGGCAACAGAGGTGATTGTGTCACAGATCAGGGACTCCATCTCATCATCAACACACCATTTGCAAACTCCATTCGCAGAAGTCAACAGTGACCACCTGATTGCCTAATCCAAAGGTTAATCATTAAAACTCTCTCTATTGCTGGCAATTATTAAAACTCTGTCTTCTCTTGGATTTCTGGTTCTCCTCCTGCTTCTCTGATCTTTTGTTTTGAGTGTCTGTCCTTTGCTTCGTCTTCTTACTTCCCTCCTGCTTGAAATGCTGTTGTTCCTTATATCCTCAGCTCTTCTCATCCTTTAACCTCTCCCAGGAAATCAGATTCTTGCCATAATCTCAACCACTATCTACATACTGCTGACTCCCAGATTGGTGTTTCTGGCCTTGAACTCCCCTTAAGTATAGGGCCATCTATCCAGCTGCCTTCTAGACCTTTCTCCTTAGATTTCCCATAGGAACGTAAAATTCAGTATCCACCAGACAAAACTCATTTTTTTCGCCTCTCCTTGTCAACCTTGCCAGTGTTCACTTCCTCAGAGAACCTCTGTCTTCCTGTATTGGTTGGTGATACTTCTGTGTGCCTGTTATCCAGGTAGTACACCTGAGCAGCATCCTCCAACCCCTCTTTCTCTCGTAGCTTGTGCATACAATCTGTTCTTAAGTCCACCTCCATTCTGACTTACAGAGAACTTTCCTCACCCTTTCTTTTTGTCCTCATTGCTAATGCCCCAGCTTTGTACTATTTCAGGAGCCTTTAACTGGTTTCTTTGAATCTCAGCTCAGCTTACTCCAAATTGTGCTCGACCTTCTTTTAAATATATTCTTTCTCAAACTCAAATGTTTCTATTTTGTGCTCCCACTATGACTCCCATAAAACCTTTCCCATTACCTGCTGCTTAAGCATAAGTCTACATTCTTACTATGGATCTTGTAATTGAATTTCTGCATACCTTTTCAGCTTTATTCCTGTCTACGATGTCTTTGGGTATATACAAATAGGGAAATCAAATCAAAGCATGGATACACACCAATAGAAGTGTGAACAACTGAGGTTTCCTTTATAAATCTAAACAAGGTTTTCAAAGCTAATTAAATATTTGCTTTGTTTTCAGGCTGTAGACAAGTACTCATTGATAATGAAAGTACAAGACATGGATGGTCAATTTTTTGGATTGATGAGTACAGCAACTTGCATCATAACAGTAAAAGATTCAAATGACAATTTACCCACTTTCAGACAAAAGGCTGTAAGTAGATAATATCAAAATTGATCTCTATTGTTATCTTTATTTAATCTGAATTAATAAAATATTTATCATACTTTGAAGTATGCATGTTTATCAATAAAATGAAATATCTGACGTATAAATATCTTTTATTTATTCATAATAGTATTTATATTGTCTCCCTTTTGTTAAAGACCATAGCCTTAGTCTTTATTTGTAACAAAGTTCTTCATTCATTTAAAAGATAACCCTTAGTAAAACAATGCTTTTGTGATTCATGTTTTAAAATAATCTAGGCAAAAACTGTAAGAACAAGTACTTTTGGAGTGGAAGAAACAATTATTTCTTTGTAAAAGTTTCCTTTATAAAGTAAGTTTTTAATGAGCTTTCTCTGTTTCAGTATGAAGCATCAGTAGAGGAAAATACGTTCGATGTGGAAATCTTACGAATACCTATAGAAGACAAGGATTTAATTAACACTGCCAATTGGAGAGCCAATTTTACTATTTTAAATGGCAATGAAAATGGACATTTCAAAATCAGTACAGACAAAGAAACTAATGAAGGTGTTCTCTGTGTTGTAAAGGTAAAGTAATAATGAGTAATAGACAATTTGGCAAGTTAAGTTTTAATCAACTAATGGTTTAATCAACTAAGTAGTTTCAGATTGTAGACTTTACAAGTTGGAAGAGAACTTAATCTATTTAGTTCACTTGTTCTGCTTTAATGCTGCCTTCTATAATTTGTTACCAGCTATTAGGCATCTAGCTTATGCTTGGAACAGTCTCGATCGTAAGAATCTCTGTATATCCATTGGCAGCTTATTCCATGTCTGGAGAACTCTAATTCTCAGAAGGCCTTACTTTTACTGTGCCTAAATTATTCTCCTTGTAACCTGTGTCTTTGGACCAGGTTTTATCTCTAATGTTATACAAAACAGGTATAATCCTTTGAAAAGGCTGTGATGTCTATTTGAGATTTACCTTCTCTAGGATAAATATTCCCAATTCCTCTAACTATTCTTTACATGATATAATTTAGAGGCTCATATTCTTCTCTCTGTGTCTCTCTCTCTCTTGAATATATGACTGGTTGTATCTGATCTTCTTAAAGATAATATTGAGGATGAAATATAGTATTACATCAAACAGCATTGAATGAACATATTCTTTGTTCTATATGTTGTATTTTTGGTAGTACTGTTACATTCTAGGGTCCAGGTTATAAGGGCAGAAAAGGCTCTTTTGGGAAGGACTCTTGGTTTTATATTCCTTACCCAGAAAAAGAAAGAAAATTGTCCTATAGTGTAAAGCAGCACTTACTGTGTGCGCTAATGTTAAATGTCATTCTTATAACAATTGTACAGAAGAGAAAACTTAGTCTCAGAGACATTAAGAAACCTACCCAAAGTGACACAGCTCAGATGTAGTAGAGACAGGATTTGAGTCTATGTTTCTTTAATTCCAGTTTATCTGCTCTTAAGCCCTGTGTTAAATTGCTTTGCATAGCTCCGTGATCTTGGAAAATTAGCCTCTGTCTTATCTGTAAAATATAAATAATATTTCTCTCTGCCTTCCTAGTAGCTATTCAGATATGATAATGAAAATGAGAGCACTTGGTAAACTATAGGATATTAGTATTATATTTTTAGAAGTCACATCATGTTCTTGGGAATAGTGTTATCATTTTCCATAATAGATAACTTTTTTGAAACTGTAGAGTATGAGCTGATTCAGTCTTTAGCTGGGTGTCCTGGGTAATCCTTCCATCTTAGTATTTTCTCTCCATTTCAGCAACAGCAGCTGTGCATCAGAGCTTGAATGAGGAAGACAGAGTTCTTGGTCATTCTCAACGTAGAAAGTCCTCACATCCATCTTCACAACAATACATTTTCTAGGGAATTGTTAGCATCTTAGTGCAGATATGGGATATTTTTGGACAATTTTTTTTTCAGCTGATGAAACAAGAAGGTATCCTATGGTTGAAGAGAATTCATATTTTTTTCATTAATCATTGATTTCATCCCACCAGACTTCTAAATCTTGCAGAGTTTTAAGCTACTACAGCAATATCCAGTTTAAGCCTTAAAAGATTGCATAAAAGATCTCTAGGGCTTTTAGCAAGTAACTCTAGATTGAATAACTGCACCTCTTCTAGGGAGCAGCTGTCTTCTAAATTTCCATCCATTTCTCATTGCTAGCAGACTCTCAGCCTGGTCATAGCAACATGAGCAATTTGTGAGATAGTGTTCATTAGCGGCAAATAAACGGATATTAATCCTTTTCTCTCTTGGCGCTCCAGTTTCTGGGATATTAATAAAAGAATCAAAAAGAGTTTCACATACATTTTGTAGATTCTAAGATTCAGAACTTTTCTTGACTTCTTATTGGATTTGTGTTATTAGTATCTCAGCTTGATAATGCCTAGATGTGGAGATGTGGAGAAAGGCTTAAACCCAAAATTTTACTCATCAGTTTTGATTTTGTTCAATGTTCAGCCAGTGATTATTTTGATAAGCAGAAAGAGAATGAAAGAAAAAGTGCGTTAGCTTTTCAGTACAGTGTAAAATACTGTTTTATGGATTTGGCTTGTTTGCTGTATAAAAATCAATTGTAACCAAAGAATTGATTTAGAAGGTTTTAGAGGCTGGTGAGTCAATTAAGCAGAAGGATTATAGTGTGGTGGTTAGGAAAATGGACTCAGACCAGACTACCTGGCTTGAAACTCCAGCTCGAATGAGTTTCTTTTGGCTTTGAGAAACCCAGTTTATTTCCTCTTCTTTACTTTCGTGCTCTCTAAAATGGGGATGATGATGATAATAGTGCCAATAGCACATTATATTTTTCTTACCCCTCTGTGTTCTTCACTGCGAGAGTGTCATTGGATAAACTACAAACAGTGCCAAAGTATAATTCTCAAATTGTCAAAAGTAAAATTTTCATAAAAATAGATAGCACAGGTAAAAAGTTTACTTAACTCATCAGTGAGGGACTCAGCAAAAAGCCAAAGCAGCTTCCTAGAAGAAATGAGAAGTTGTATGGATTTTGATAAAAGGAAAAGCTGAAATAAAGATTGCTTAGTTATATGCCTCAGAGGACAATTAAAACGTGCATTTGAAATACCATTTCTCTCAGAGAGAAAATAAAATCACTGTACCATTTCAGCTTTAAGTCAACATCTAGTTTTATAAGAGCTGTAAAAGGTATGGGCCCTCATCAGTGGTAAATAGTAAGTTGAACCTTCTCCGAGAGTCAGATGACTCTTAGGCCGGTCTTCTAAATAAGGCCAGAAGAACACGGTCATGTTTTTGCATCTTCAGGTTCAGAATAATTTTCCTTAGTAAGAATGAGTTATAAAAATATTTTAGGAATTGCTTTCCCACAACTCCATAAAACCACCTGCAGAAACTTTCCAACCACTCTTGCTAAAGGCTTAGTGAAGAATCACCTCTCTCTTTAGCAAAGGATAAAAGTCAATATTGGCTAAGTGAGAGCACAGAATTTATGTAGCACTGTTCATATCGACAAAAGATCACTTGCTATTTGAAATACCAAATGTTTGTTACACTGATGTTCATATACTTGTCCTTTTTTTAAAGCCACTGAATTATGAAGAAGACCGTCAAGTGGTCCTGGAAATTGGAGTAGGCAATGAAGCTCCATTTACTGGAGATGTGACACTCAGAATGACAAACATGAACAGAGCCAGGGTCACAGTTCATGTGAAGGATCAGGACGAAGGGCCTGAATGCAGACCTGCAGTCCAATATGTACAGATTAAAGAAAACTCCCCAGTGGGTTCAAATATCAATGGATATAAGGCATATGACCCTGAAACTAGAAGTAGCAGTGGTTTAAGGTACAAAGAAATCTATAACCACATACTAATTATGTATCTGTAATAATTGAGACAGTAATATATTTTAATACATTTTATAGTGCTAAAAACTATTTTTACTTTTTATTAACAGGTACAAATTATTGCATGACCCGAAAGGGTGGATCACCATTAATGAAATTTCGGGCTCACTCGAAACTTCCAAAATCTTAGACAGGGAGGCTGTAACTCCCAGACGTGCCTTGTATAATGTTACAGTCCTGGCAATAGATAAAGGTAAAACACCAGCTTTCATCTGGTATGTTATAAAAGAATTAGAGAATAAACTTCATTTATTCTTGTGCAGGATTATCCTTGTGCTAAGTATATAGAATTCTTAGAAATTACTTTAAAGATTGTTTCTATTTATCTTAATCATCGAACAAGGTGAAACTGCTTGGTGACATGAAACCATGCCTTATTTATCTTTATATCCCTAGCATGGCAGCATCTTAAATGCCTGTAGATCTCTATGTCAGAGGACAGAGATGAAACTTAAGTCTAGGACTAGATGAAATGGTCTCACCAGACTCTTCTAGATCTCTTTACATCATTTTAAATTGAGCTGTTAAATAGCTCAGCTGACTATTAAGTCAAAATAATTCCTTCCTTGAATTCTTTTCCTTAAAGTAACCCAGAGTTTCTCAACCCTGGCTACGTATTAAAATAATTTGGGACATTTAAAAAAATATCAGGGTGTAGACACTACCTCAGACCAACTGAATCAGAATCCCTGGTTGGGGAGCCTGGGCATTGTATATTTTTTAAAATCTCCCTAGGTGGTTTAAATGTGTACCAGGATTAGAGTAACTTTTCTGTAGTCACTTTACTGTTCCTTAACATCTGGACCAAAAGAAACCCAAGGAAATAGAGAGTTTGAAATTCAGACATTTAGTTTTACTTTTTGGTAATAATTCTGGTAAAAGTTTTATGGCCAGTTATATCTGATACTATCAACAGCATACTCACTTTAGGTGATCTACAGGTTTCATTTACCCATCTACCTTCTTATTTACCATTTTCTCTAATGATCAGAGTTTATTTAAAAAAAAAAAACCCATACATCATATGTAGAATCTAGTTGATTATTTTTCTTAAGAAACTATAAAAGTCTGTGAACTACACTAAACTTTTTTCCTTTCTTCCTAGATAGTAGATCATGTACTGGAACCGTTGCAGTTAACATTGAAGATGAGAATGATAATCCACCAAAAATACTTCAAAATTATCTAGTAATTTGCAAACCAAAGATGGAGTATGTTGACATTTCAGCTGTTGATCCTGACGAGCCCATCCACGGCCCTCCATTTCACTTCAGCTTGCCAAAAACTCCAGAAATCAACAGACTATGGACCCTTGCCAAAGTTAATGGTATTTCCTCAAAAATAATGATTTATATGCTCTGAAATAATTGAGAATGGATTTACTGCTTTACTCACGTGAAGCATAATGTAAAATGGATTCTCATGAACATATTTTAGAAGGCTAACTTTAACTTTTGCACACATTGTGTGGGACCTGTGTTTTATATTGTACATAAAATGAAAAAAAATCATAATTTTTATGAAGGCAGAATTTACATTTACAACAAAGACAAAAAATCCTTGTTAAAATATTGAGCAACTTATCATTAAAACAAACTGTTCTTGCCATGTTTTTGAAGTAGCTACTGTGCGATGAGGAAAGAACAGAAGGTGGGAGGCTTAAATTTTAGTGTAAGCAAACTCTAGAAATGAGGGATCTGGGTGTGTGGGATAAGCACTCTATAACATTCTGGACGGAAACATGGTGGGCTGTGGACAGAGGCCTGGCATTGAAGCCTGCAGTGCAGACTGCTACAGTACTGGTTTCTGAGGTGTACAGTTTTCTATGTTATAGCCATAGTTCACTGCTGTTTTGTTGCTATGTTGTGCTCTTTCATGCAATTCAACTTTTGCATATGCTGTTCCTTCTGCCTAGACTACCTCCTTCCCACTTCTTAGCTTGATATTAATTCATAATATTTATGGAGCACCTACTATCTACCTGTTGTATCTACATGTAATCTACATGTTGTATTCTTATTTGTTTACCTTTCTGCTTTAATACATGACTTTCTCAGAACATTTGTAACCCATCTGTGTATTTCCAGCACCTAGCCTAGTGCTTGGTAGACACTAACTGCTTAATAAATGTCTGTTTAATCAATAATTGATAAACAAATATGCATGAAATCAGGAAAATACTAGGGCAATAAGTAAATCAGGGTTGTTAGAGTTTAGAAGGTTTTAGTAGGAATGCCGAGAGATTTGGCGGGAGTGGTGATGAAGGGCCTTATGTACTAGCTGAGGAGACTGACCTTTGTATGGTTGGTGACAGCAGGTACGCATTGAGAGTATACAAGTAAGGCAATGCTGTACCAGATTTATGTCTTAAAAACAGTGACATTGATAACAGTTAGGAGGGCAGTTTGAAGAATGCAGAGTTGAGTAGCAGGGAAAGTCAGAGGCTGCTGTGCTAGTACGAGTGAATGGACATGAATATGGCTCTTGGTCTTGAGGTCATGAATAAGCCTGTGGTCTTGAGGGACGAGAGAGATTTGAAGGATTTTACTTTAAACACAATATAATCCTGAAAAGTTCCAAATAAACCTTAGTGGTAATTCACATTCCTCTGGGGAGCTTTGTGTCTGAGGTGTAGCCAGAAATCTTTGAAGTTCTCAACAGCTCTAACAGTGCGTTTAAGAAAGGCTTAGAAATTACAGATCACTTCCAGGAGGTGCATTATGCATTTTGTCATTTCACTTATTGAAAAACCCAAAAGATTGCAATTGCCATTGAAAGTGTGTGGAGCTTTTGGTCAGTTGATAATAAAGTCATTGAAATAAGGTAGCAAGTTCATTGGGGAAATATCACTGTTCGTAAAAACTTGTATTGTTAGGATATAGATATGTCTGTGTTTATGTAAGCCTTATACCTAGCTTGGGTGATGTTAATTAGTTTTCTGGTATTGAGATTATGTCCACAGGGAAGGTGTTAAATACCAAGGGTCAGTTGTCCTTTGAGAAATTACCTTATACATAAAGACAATGGACAGGTACCAGAAGGTAAATGGATAAGAAAATATGAACTTAAGACATCTCTTGTGTGTAACTACTGGTGTTAATTTTTTATGAGTACCATAAACTGGTACTTTAGAGAAATGCTTGGAGTGTATGTCAAGAGCCAATCTAGCATCATTAGCTTGTAGATAAGGGAGGAAATAAGGGAATACTAAATATTGCTGAAAAGCTGCTGGGTCACTCCAATGCCAAATTATTTCTTTAAGCCTCTCTTCTAAAAAGTTACAATGGGCAACATACATCTGGTGATATTAGTGCCTGAAAAGGTTGAAGATCGTCATCTTTTTTTATCCATTTTCACATGGAAGGTGGTTCCTTGAGAATAGTGTCTTTAAAAATAGGTGTGGTGGAACAGATGTTAGAGGAGGAATCAATGTTCATTAAAAATATCATTCTTTTCTTCCAGATACAGCTGCCCGTCTTTCATATTTGAAAAATGCCAAATTTCAAGAATATTATATTTCCATTACCGTAAAAGATGGAGGAGGTCAATCTGCAATAACAACCTTGAGAGTGAACCTCTGTGATTGTACTCATCCAGATAAATGTCGCATGACTGCAGGGAGTGCAGGAATGGTACTTGGCAAATGGGCGATCCTTGCGATACTTCTGGGTATAGCATTGCTTTTCTGTAAGTCCTTTTACTTACCTGACTTTAAAATATAAAATAAATATCTGAGTGCAGGAAAAGGTCTTTAAAAAGAAATCTTGTCCAGCTATCTGTCAGGTATTCTTTTTGTATTATTTTCTGAGTTCTGAGTGAATATTTTCTGTGAGAAGAAGCAAAATCCTTTTTGAGATCAAAGATTTCATACTTGGACAGAACTGTTGAAAATTCCTTAGATTTTGCCAAACCTGTCAATGTATATATAGCTTTTATTTCTTGGTCCTTGTACTACCCCTTTTAAGGCTAAATCAAACAATCTAAAACTTCTGTCATATGCAAGTCCACTAAAAGGCACTTTCATGTCATGTCATTTTCATTTCAGCTACAGACTTATGGGAGGTGTTCAAATCACAGCAATATCTCTTCTTGGGTGTATCCTACCAGGTTAATTAAATTCTATTAACCTCCTCCTAACCAGTTATGTAGTTCCCAGTGGTGCCGTATTTTTTCTTCTCTTTTCATTTCCATTCAATCCTTCAGCTTATTTCAGCTGTTGTTCCTTTATTCTGTGATAGGACTAGTGGTTAAGAGTAAGACTCTGGAACCAGACTGTCTGGGTTTGGACCGTAGCTCCATTATTTGTCAGCCATGTGACCTGGGGCAAGTTACTTCACTGTGCTTCAGTTTCCTCATCTGTAAAAAGGGATAATTGTAGTAGGTTATTTTATGGGGTACCACCGGAGATTCATTGAGTTAATGCATGTGAAGAGCTTAAAACAGTGCATGGTACATTTCTAATAAGTGTTTATTATTTTTTATCAACTCAAAAAAATAAATATATATTGAACACCTACTATATACCAGAACTGTCTAGGTGCTTGGGATTCATCAATGAACAAAGCAGTCAAAAGCAAACAAGCCAAAACAAAGTCTTCCTTGTGACAGTAAAGTAATAAATAAATTAAATGCTGTGGAGGAAAAAAATAGAGCCAGATAATTAGGGTCTCTGGTGCTGTAAAGTGTGTGTGGGTGAGTGCAGGGGATGGGTGCTAGTGATAGTAATTTTCAATAGATGGTTGGGCCAGCCTAACTGAGAAGGTTATCATTGATGGTTTTTGGAAAAGGTGAAAGAGTCAGCCAAGAATACTTAAGGAAGAGCTTTCAGTCAGAGGAGAAAGTCAGTTCAAAGGCCCTAAGGTGAGGGAATGTTTGAGAAATCGAGGAAGGCAGGGAGACCAGTGTGGCCTGAGAGATGAGGGAAGAGGAGTGTAGGAAGTGGAACGAGAAAGGTAACAAGGGGCCACACAGAGTTGGCAAGGGTTGGTACACTTTTTCTGTGAAGGGCAAGATAGTATATATTTTAAACTTTGCAGGCCATATGGTTTCATTTGTAACCAATCAATCAAATCTGCCCTTGTAGCGAGAGAGCAGCCATAGAAAACATTTAAACCACAGGCATGGCTGTGTTCCATTAGAACTTTGTTTATGGACACTAAAATTTGAATTTCATATAATTTTCCCGTGTAATAAACTATTATTCTTTTGATTTTTTTTCAGTCATTTAAACATATAAAAACCACAGCTCATGAGTCATACAAAACATGGTGGGCTGGATTTGGGGCCGTAGGTTGGCAATCCTTGGTATAGGGGCTTGTAGAACATTGTAAAGCGTTGTTGTTGCTGTTAGCTTTATTATCATGTATTTCAACCTCCCACAATTATGATGCAGAATGAAAATTCTGAATAGGCAAAATACAAAGTAAGTTTAATTAAGATACTTGGAGATAAATCTATTCTGGGAAGAAAAGTCTGCTTTGTTATCTTTTCATATTGGCAAACCATTCTTTTGGGAATCAGTAAATCTCTTTAAAGTCTTTGTCTTAAAAAATGTCATTGGGGCTTCCCTGGTGGCGCAGTGGTTGAGAGTCCGCCTGCCGATGCAGGGGATACGGGTTCGTGCCCCAGTCCGGGAGGATCCCACGTGCCGCGGAGCGGCTGGGCCCGTGAGCCATGGCCCACGGATCCTGTGCTCTGCAACGGGAGAGGTTGCAGCAGTGAGAGGCCCTCTTACCACAAAAAAAAAAAAAAATGTCAATGATTTTTTAAAAATTCATGATTCAAAATACTTAAATGATGGGTGGAATTCAAACTCTTGAAGATATGTGTATCAAAATATACATATAATCACTTTAAATGTTAAAATCTAAGCTAAATCATGGCCTGTTAATTTAGAAGGGCCAGGGTAATTTGTGGGGCACCATGCTCAGTGACTTGTTTTCCTCCTGTGCACCTTAGGTAATAAGAAATAAAAGATGAGTATTTTATTGTGTGCATGTTAAACATTTTTGTTTTTGTTTTTAACTCAGCTATATTGCTAACTGTAGTATGTGGACTTGTTAGTGCCAGAAATGAAAAAACGTTTCCTGAAGATTTGGCACAGCAAAACTTAATCATCTCAAACACAGAAGCACCTGGAGATGATAAAGTGGTAAGTAATTTTTTTTTTGAATTTTATTTTATTAATTTTTTATATGGCTATCTATCTCTGAGTAGTTCCCACAATTTCTTTAACTCATCCTCATGAAGTTATTTCAGAATTTAGGAGTTAATTTCTATTTTTCTTGATCAGATTCTGTAGACATAAATATGTTATCTGTCAATATTCAAATATTTTTGTAGGGCATTTATTAAACCAGATGTATTGTTTTAGTTATCTTTTTTCTACTCTCTAGTGTTATGGTTTAAAACTTGTTATTTGATGTTGTGAATTTATTATAAGAAGAATCTTTTTGACTGCTCTCTACAATGTATATTTTCAGATATTGTTTGTTTATCTAACTCTTTGACCATTTATAATAGGAAGAACTTGCTGAAAGTTCTCAAGATAAACTAAAAATATCAAAAAGATATATGTTTACAAAAAAGTGTGTGTCTGGGGGGGCAGATTGGAACAAAACTGCCACTTTCTTTTCTTACATATTTCTTGGGACCTCTGAGGTGCTTGGCACTATGCTTCTTGTTCTGTGGGAAGTATGTAAAAAATTATTACAAGGCATGTTCTTCCCTCGAAAAGATTTCAATTCATTCTTGAGAAATTGAAAAATAAATAGAAATGTGACAGTAAACTATTAGCCTCAATATGATAGGACACTGGTGGAGTTCAAAGATACTGATGATACATAAGTATATTCATGATGTCTGGATATCAACCAGAAAGGCCTGGTGGAAGAGGTACAGATTACTCTGTACCATAAAGAACACGAAGGGTTTGAAAGTGAAGAGATGGAGAAAAACAGCCTAATGAATAAAAAAGGAGATGACAAAGTTTAGGGATTATTCACCAAAGAGTAAATAAATTGATTTGAAATGGAAGAAATGATGTTTTGGACTAGAGGCTTGACACTTAGGTTCTGGAGGGAGAAGATATAATAAGAGAGGGATGGGGGATAAAACTTTTTGTGGCACACTAAGGATTTTGGATTTATTCTCTTGGTAAGGGAGAGCCAGTCAAGGCTTTCTGCACGAAAGTGGCATAACGTGAGCAGTGTGATACTGAATCAGTAGGGTGACCAACAAGAACAGGAAGATGTTAGGAATGGGGAGGATAAAGGATTAGGATCTTTTGATAATTTAAGCATGAGATAACTCTACTAGGATAATGGTTATTGGAAACTTAAAATAGGGATGGATAAGAAATATTTTAAATGTGTAAATAAAATTGTTTTCTTTTAAGTAATAAAATAAAAAGTGGAGTCAATGTGACAGAAGCTATAGCCCGGGACAGTGACTTTATATCAGGCCTTTTCTGTATCTCAAGGTGACGATGCCTTTCTTCTCGACTATTTCTTTCACTTCCTTCCCACCATCAGGCAAAATCATGACTCCACTATGCTTGACATGCCTATGTGTGGAACCCTATAATTATCTCTCCATTCAGGAAATAGATTTAGCCCCATGATCGTCCTTGACTCATAGTAAGCTCTTATTTTATATCTGAGAATGGAATGATTGAGCTGTACTTAATTTTTTTTCTTTGCCATTTGATGCTGGAGTCGGTGGCATTGATTGGCCACTTCACCATAACATACATCTATTTACCTGTTCTCTATTAGGAACACTTCTCAAAAGGACTTGAAATTGTTAATTTATACCAGTATATAATTTTAGGCATATTTTTACAAAATGCAACAAAATTTCACGGTGAATGTGTAAACTCATTTTAATACAATGAGTAAAGGTGGTAACTTTAGTTTTGAATCTGAGTTTAAGTCAAAGGCATTCAGATGGGGTTAGGAGTTGTGTGAAAAATCAGGACTGGAAAAGTAAATTTGAAAATCACTGACATGGAGAAGGAGTTGTTGATGCCCTATGAGAATAAACTTGGGGGAAGGAACAGAGATTAGAGAATGTGAAACAGTACTATGGATTCAGCTTTGATTTTAGTTTATTTTCAATTCTCCCTTTATTAGCTTAGAAATATGATCTCAATATGTATTTATAATGACAAAATTATACCCATCAAGGAGATTTGACAAACAGGATTTGTGTGTGTGTGTGAGAGATAGAATTTTACTGTAGCAGCAACCTAAGCAAAAAATGTAGGGTAGCAGTGCCACCAAATGGCTACTTTTCAGTTCTCTTTTCTGGTATTTTTTTCAAAGGCAGTAAAATAATATGTTTGACTTTTATAGATATATTTCAGATTCAGTAAATTATCTGAACTTGAAAATCTTTGCTTTGATAGAGACTCTGCATATTAGATAGAAAAAATAAATTGGTAAGAAGATGACACAATGACACCTGATTATAGTGGAGGTCTTGTCATGAAAGTGATGGTTTAGAATTCAAACTGACATGCAGAGGTTATTGCTATAACTAAACATCTCACCTATGGCCTGGAGGGTTGGTGTTCAGTTCCAGCATTCAGTTAATGTTTAATCAAGCCTTTTCCATTTTAAAATATTCCCTTGACTCTTTGTCCTCCCCTAGATCCCTCCATATTTCTTTTTCTTTGAAACTGAATTTTTTGAGAGAAATATTTTTTACTCGATTTCTCTATGACATTACTTCCTGTTCATTCCACACTCCGTGGAAATTCTTTTGACACAGATCACCACTGGCCACTTTTTTACTTGACTCTCATGGGTGCTTACTTTATTTGAACCAGTTCTTACCCTACATGGATTTTTTTCTACACCATTGATCTCCTTACCGTAATCCTCTCTTGGCTAGAGAGTCATGGCTGTTTGGTTCCGTATTATCTCAGTGGCTATTCCAGATCAATTCTGTCAGCTCTAATTCCTTTATCCACCCTTTAAAACATGATGTTTCTTGTCGTTCTATTCTTAGCCTTTTTTTCTTTTGGTCTGCAGTTTTCTCTGGGTGATGTAATTTATTCCCATGGCTTCAACTCCCCCCTACATGGAAGTGACTCCCAGAATTATACTCTGGCTCAGATCTCTCACCTGAGCTCCAGACCACATATTCATATATTCATTTTGGAAATCCACAGGTTTCTCGTTTACCACATCCAAAATTGAATTGCTCACCCTCCTCTCACCGGCAAGTGCATCCTTCATCCCTGTTTCAGTGAATCATACCATCTATCTAGTTGCACAAGCAGGACACATGGGAATAATTCCTGACCCTTCCCTTTGCTGCCTTATCCATCTAACCACCAGTAAGCACTCTATGGAGTCCATCCTCTTCTTTTAATCATCCCTGCTTTGACTTTGGCTTAGATCCTTATCGTTTTTCACCTATAATGTTTCAGTGACCTCTCTGATATCCATGACTCTAAACTTGTCTCCTTCTTATTTGTCTTTCACATTATTGCCTAAAATGATTTTTTAAAAAATATGTCCCTTGCCTGTTATTACAACTGTTCTTTTAGTCCCCATAATCTTCAAGATAGTCTAAAAATTTTAGCATGGCATATAGATCTTTATGTCCTCTGGCCTTTTATAACCTCTCTAGCTTCCTCTCTCTCTCTCTTTGAACTTTCTGCGGTAGGCATTCTCGACAGGCTGAAGTTGGGAACCCCCAAGGAACCCCATTTGGCTTTGCCTCTAGACCCTCTTACAGATAATGCATTCTTCCTCCTATTTCTCAGTAGGAATCCCTCAACTCAGAGTTTTCCCACTTACTTTCCCACTTACTTTCTCCGAGTTTGAATTTTCATGCTCTTCCTCTGTGTCCCTATAGCATTCTGTGTTCACCTGTACATCAGCATAATCACATTCTTAAAGTAATTGTCTATTTTTCTGCCTCATTGGAGTAAGAGCTTCTTGGAGCCACTGAGGGACCTTGTCTCTATCTTTGCACCTAACTGGAAAATGATAAATGTCTGTTGAATGAATGAATGAATAAAAGGTTGAGTGAGCTGTCTCCTTTGCCTTCTTGCGACTTTACTTGGAATCCATTTCCTCCCTATATGAACTGTTTTATTTTATCTTATTTCAGTGTTCTGCCAATGGGTTTACGACCCATACAGTCGACAACTCTAGCCAAGGCTTTTGTGGTACTATGGGATCAGAAGTCAGAAATGGCAGGCAGGAAACCTTTGAAATGGTAAAAGGAGGAAACCAGACCTTGGAATTGTGCCAGGGGGCCGGGCATCATCACACCCTGGATTCCTGCAGAGGAGGCACTGTGGAGATGGACCACTCGGAGTGGTACAATTTCACTCAGCCCCGCCTTGGTGAAGTGAGTTTCCTTGAGTGTTTTGACCCTGCAATCTAAATGTCCAAGTGGAGGACATTAGGAAATTGAGATTGACACATATTTTCAGAAACTTCTTTTTCAGATTCTCTAATGTATCCTTTCTCTCTCACTCTCTGATTATTTTTGCCCCTGCTCTTTGATTTTGTTACAGTATTTGATATAAAAGTTTTTATTTCATCTGTCACATTTCTCTTAATTTCTAAAATCTCATGAAAATTGGAGGATTCTACTATCCCTCACTAAAGTTACATTTCATTTTTCGGTGTGTGTTTATCTCATGAACTCTTTTAACATAGAATAGGGAAAAAATCTCATTCTCCACAATCACAAAAATCCCCAAATCAAATCTGCATCTCTCTGTGAAAACAAAGCATCTGTACAGAATTCTGGAGTGAATATTAAATAATATGGTTCATATGAACTATTTTTTCATGTAAAAAGCATCATGCATATATAAAGTGTTTTCTAATTCGGAGGAAAGCAAGGATGTGAAAGATAGGGGGGTTCAATAAGGGATTTTCATTCCTGGCAGCACATCAAAATTCCCTGGGAAGCTTTTAAAAAATACTAATGCCTGTGCTTCACCTTGAAAGATTCTGATTCTAATTGGTTTAGCTTTTTTTTTTTTTTTTTTTTTTAAGCTCCTCGGGTGATTCAAACGTGCAGCCTGAGTAGAGGACCACTGAATTAAGTATTCTTTCTGGTACTAAGTTTTCACTTCTTTTATCAGAGAGTACCAGTGCTGTTGTAATACAAACACTGGTCCAGAAACCCTGAAGCCTTTGATGGACTGCAGATGGGCAACATTCTGTGACATGGCTGTAGGTTATCATAGGTCCACAGCATATTTATTTTTTTCATCAAATTCAAATGTTAATCCCTTTTCTGTTTCTAGACAGTCAGTAGCCATGTAAGATCAGGCTGAGGAGGAGGGAAGCTTAAGAAACACTCTTAGGGGTGTTCTCCAATGTGCATGTCAGGTAATGGGATGTGAGGCTAAAATGGTCATGAAGAGAGACACTTGCTAATGTAAGCCAAGGTAATAAGCACTGGGTTTGAGAGGGGATGCGTACACAGGTGAGAAAGGGTAGAGGTGCATGAGTTTGACAAGTTGGCACACAGGCCAGTGACAAACAGCGAGGGTAAATGTGGCTGAATCTTGGCCTCAATTCTGGCCAGGTTTTTGCAGTGTGAGTTATCTTGATTATTTTAAATTTCACTGAAACTTTTTGGTGCATTTTTTATTTTGCCATGGTTTGGCTCTCTCGGAAGCTTGATTCTGAAGACAATGTGGTAATCTTACTGACGTTATATCTGCAGATAATAGCGATTTTAGTTTATTGAACATGTACTATGTGCTGGACATAATAAGGGTATTTTTCATGCATTATTATTTCATCATTTAATAATGACCCTGTGAGATAGTCATTGTCTGTATTCCTATTTTAGAAATGAGGAAACTGAGAGTTAAAGATGTTCAGTATTATAACTTGCTCAAAGTCATGTAGCTAGTTGGTAAAGCCAAGCTATGACTCCAAATCAGGACTGCTTGACTATCCAAGCTCAAATTCCTAACTGCTATGCATATTGCCACCATTTTGTGGACTAGCCTGACCTCTAGATATAAAATTTAGGGATAAGAATTTAATAATAATTTAAATGTACTTAAATATAATGTGTATACGTAATTTTGTATTTGTATGGATTACTAGAAATGTAAAATATACTGACTTTGTAGTATGGCTGTGATATAGACCAACCATGTGCATTTTTTGTATGTAGGAATCCATTAGAGGACACACTGGTTAAAAATTAAACATAAAAGGTAAATAAAAAATAAATTTTATGTTTATCTTTCAGTGTGTTTAAAACAATAATACAATCCCATTTTTTAAATTTTACAGAAATTGCATCTATGTAATCAGGATGAAGACCACATGCCATCTCAAGATTATGTTCTTACGTATAACTATGAAGGGAGAGGATCTCCAGCTGGTTCTGTAGGTTGCTGCAGTGAAAAACAGGAAGACGATGGCCTTGACTTTTTAAATAATTTGGAAACCAAATTTACTGCCTTAGCAGAAACATGCACAAAGAAATAATGTTACAGTGCTACAATTAGATATATCTTCGTCAGACATTCTGGAGGTTTCTGAAAGGGATATTGTAAAATTTAATTGATATCTAGATATATATGAATATGAATATATGTGAATTTTTCTAAAAGTTTTGAATTATGCTATGTACCAATTTCTACTTTAAAACAGTTCGTTACTTATCTTTTCAGGAAGTTCAAAATGTAAAAACAGATTTTGCCTCTTTTACTGCTGAGTAAATAGAAAACCAGCAAATCTCATGCTATAGCACTGGAATTAAGGTCTATAAAGGACCTCCTCTTCTTTGCATATATTTCTCCAATAAATACATTGGCTAAATATTAGTCCAACAATAGAAGCTGTATTTAACTGACTATAGTAGAACAGCTCTCTGGGCTAGAAATTCCATCCTTATTCCAGATTTAGATAAAAGTAGAATATTAATCGTTATGGTAAATTATGTTGGATTTTTTTAGCTCAGAAAAATAAATAGCACCCGGTCATTTGCTCTGAAGGCTACTAGAATTTTGTTTTTCTTCTGGGTAGCAATTAGATTATGAAGAGAAGTTCTAGATACTAGATTGCCCTGATAAGGTCTCAAAAACACAGAGCCACAATGTGAAAACTAGACCAGGAAAGTGTAGACCAAAAAAAAAAAAAAAATGTTGCTTTTATACTTTTGAAAGTGTGTTTTATGGTTTACAAAAGTCCTGTTATAAGGAATATATCTAAGTTTCCTTAATCTCGAGAAAGAAAACTATATTCACCTTACAGAATTATTGCCAGTATTTTAATGTAAAGATCTTCTGTTGAGATTGTAATCACAAGTCTTTTTCCTGAGATTCAGAACTACCTTTGATAACTTGCCAGTAATGAGAATTATGCTGAGAAAAAGTTGCTTTTCTTCTCTTGAGAATTATACTTTCATATTTTCATTTGCAAGTTTAGCACATATGGCTCTTTATTTTCTCTCAACAGTAGTCATTTGCAATTAGAATATCTTATCCTTACATGGACTGTAGTTACGCCATTGAATCAGTCTGAAGAAACAGACTCCCATCGTAGTTATGGTAGCAATGAGCATTAACATTCATTTCTATTCACTACCATTTTCAAATAAAATACATTATTCCTTATTAAAGCAGGTAAATATTACACAATGCTATAATGAATCAAATGAATCTAGGGAAACTTAAACCTTAGGTGCAATTTAATATCTTCCAAGGTGTTGCTTAAATTTTGTGCTTCTCAAATTTGTTCACATGCTACAGCCTCTGGAAGGCCTTGCAAAATTCCCCAAAGCAATGACGTTTAAACTTAAAATAATTAACATCTAATCTTATGATAAACCTAATAGCACATTATTATATACTCACTTCAAATGATAGTTTAAAAAATAGATGACAAATAATAGGTACCACTAGTTGAAGAAAAGCTTGAAAGAAAAATAATTAAGACTAAATTAATTTTAAGATTTTGCAGCTATGAAGAATTGGGACCTGCTCCCCATACCCGACCCCTGCAAAAAAAAATTCTTTATTTTACTTTGGAGGCAGAATTTGTTAAGCTAGCCCATAAAGTAGCAATGTTCCATAGGAATACACTTTGAACTGGATATATGTATATATATACACATACATACATATTAATGTTTATTGATTAATGAATGATTAAATATATAACCATTAATCATTAATGGTCAAACATATAACCACTAATCATTAGTGGTTAAATCATTAATCAATGCAACATTTAAAACAAAGTGGAAAACAACATTTTAAACAAAGTGAAAAACATTTAATTTTAAATGAGGCAGGGGTGTGGTGTGTTCTATAATAAATATCCGGGATTTAAAAAACAGAGAACTTATGTTTGGTTCTTCGGTGCTGCCTGATAACTAAGCATATCAGGAAATAGTTCATGTACATTTATGTAATTTGTTTAAAATTGTATACAGTTAATTGAACTTTTCTGGTTTCAGTGGAAAGGAAAGAAGGGATCACGTGGAACTGTAGATTTGCTTTGCAGTCTCCTTCTGCATCTACAGACTGGGAGCAAACTGGTGACTGGCTATCACAGCTAGGGCTCCTTGACTTCCAGTGACAGGTTTCCAGAGATGAAATGTTTTTCTTGGAGCTAACACTAAAAACTTCTTTTAACCTAATTCTGGTAAAAATAAATGTTCTACAATTTTCATTGTCTCTCCTACCAATCGACATTTAAAAAAATTTAGAGCCAAACAACCATGTTCTCTGGGTCAGATTTTAAAGGCTAAAGGGGGCTGGGGTGGGGTAAATCTTACGAAAGTGGGGCATGACTGTCCTAAGACCTCAAATCTGTCACCTTTACACTGTGTTCTAATCAAAGCCTGGAAACTATAAAATGTCATTTCCCTAATCACTGCCCTGTTTTAAAGAGACATAGATGTGATTCAAAGAAATCAGCCCTCCCATCAGGCCCCCTTTCTTTAATCTCTCTCCCAACCTTGTCAATAACAATTAGCTGGCACATACTCCGGGCTGTCAATCACCCTTCAGTATAAATTACTTTTTACGGGTTTGCTTTCTTACGAGGATTTTTTAAATAATAGAAGAACTAAGAAGTTTGAATTCATGAAAGAAAAAGATCATGTGGTCGGGTGGGGACACAGAGAACTCCAGCAGAGGGCAAGCCCAAGTGGGGTACTTGCACAGTCAGAGAGGAACATGAAAGCCCAGGCCTTCAAGGGCAAAAAGAGAGGCCACAAGAGGGAAATGAGTGGTAAACACTGAAGCAACATTGTTTGCTTCTTAATTTGTCCTAGGCCAGGCCCTTCCTTTTCCTTTTTTCTCAGGCCAGTGGCAGCTGCCATTTGAGTTTGGTGAAGTGTCACCAACCCTTTCTCTGCCTCAGCTTATTTGGAGTGTGGAATCAAGAAGAGAGCTGACTCCTTGCTGAGTCTGAAAGCGTTTTCAGGACGGGCCTGAACTGGTTGTGCAGGACAAACGCGGCATTCATGGGGAATACTGGATTCCTAACGTAGCCCTCTGGTCACTGAGATAGATGTCTTCAATTAAACAGGTGTCTGAATTTTCTATGTGATGCTCCGTTTTCTGTTTTCTAATTTGCTCCTGAAATCTAGCTTTTTAGACTTAGACATTTTAAAGAGTAATTTTCCTTTTAAGGGCTTCTTATTTTTAATGTAAACATTTTTAACATATAGTATTCTTCTTTCCTTACATGTATAAGGTGAAAATTATGCTATTTTAGTGTGAAAGAAAATATCTTTTTGAAGCTTTAATTTTTCTTCCAGTGAATGTTCTTGAATTTTTATGTAAATGTACAAATTATCTTTTTCTTATTTTTGTAAGGAAGCAGCTAACTGTCTAAAATGCAGTGATATTTTGCAATGTTTTTAACAGAGCTTTAGTTTTGCTGTTCAGAGAAGTTACTTTGCTTTTAGAAAAACATGGCAGGTTAAAATAAGCAAAAATTTAATGTGTAAAGCAATATTTACAGATCTGGGATATAATAAAACAATGTTAACTTGATTTCTTGTCTTTGCTATTTTTAGAGATTAAATTATTCCAAGGTGGTCATGCTGCAAAATTGTGCTTAAGACTGGAACGGAAACAGATCCTTAGTAATAGTTTCATTGTATTTATAGGAAAATACTTTAGAGAAGGGGTCATTACCAAATTGTCAACATCATTATACTATTTGGGAGGAGGTCACCATTTGGGGCACAGCTTTACAAATATTAACTGTCTGCTAACTGTCTATATATCTGTCGAACTATCAGCTGAGTTTGACTGGTGAAGAAGTATTGTAAGGTTGTAACTGCAGAATGTTCCAGAATTAATACAGTGATACAGGATTCTTACTTGGAGGAGCAATGTAGTCAAGGAAAAACATTATGAGTTAAAAAAAAAAAAATCAAGCAATATTCCATTCTTGGTTCCACATGTCCAGCAGAATTCGTTTGGTTAGATTTGGGGTCATAGTGGCTGAGAAGCATGGAATCTAGAGTCAGATTGTTTGAATCTGAATCCTGGCTCTGCCACTTATTTAACTTTAGAAAGGCTACTTATCTTCTAAGTCTTAGTTTTCTTATCTTTAAAAGCAATACCAACTTTATGGAGTTGTGGGGATGATTAAATGAATTCATATATTTAAAGCATGTAAAACATTGCCTGTACATAGTAAAAGATTTATGAATGTTATATATACAGGAAGTAAAATTATGTAGTTGAATATAATACAAAACAATATCTGATCTCTTTTTGGAGAAAAGGTTATGGTTATATAGGAGAAAAGGAGGACGGGGGGAAGAGACACTTATTCCTCCCCAAAATTTGTGCTCATAATACACAAAACAATTCTATAGCATGTTTTTCTTTCTGATAGGTTGCTTTTATTCCCCAACCCACATCCCATTTAAGCAACTAAGTCCTTCTGTTTTTATTAGATTCTGTGTACATGTGCCAGAGAATTAACACCTAGAGATTCAAGGTCTAAGCCATCCAGGTAACCCTGATCAGACTAAGAGCTGCCTTAATGACCACTTGTGTGACCAACCACCGGACTCTCTCCCTACTCAGTGCCACTTGCCACTTGGTACCACTCAGACATCTGCTGTGTTTGAGCACAGTCTGAAGACACCTGGGGATGCACAAACATGTGGGCAGTGCCAGAGAAGCACGCTGTTGTTGTCACATGTAACTTCAAAAGCAGGAGTATCTTCAGAAGGCAATTTGAAACAAGCTAAAACATTGGCAGAAACACCTGCAACCTATGTCTTCTGTCATTGTTCTATTTCCTGTGGACAGCACAACAATAGTGGGGAAAATACACACTTGGGATATTATAAGCTAGTATTTTGCTTAGGGGCAAGCTAATAGATATAATATTCTAGAAGAAACCTGAATATTTGTTACCAAGTTCCCACGTATTTATTAAATTAATTTTATTGTTTTTTTTCAAACTACGTAATGTAAATACAAGCTGTGTGTTATGTGATTATACATTTTTTAAATTAAAGGATAAGTTTCCATGTTACCTTATTAGATTCACTTCCTGTGTAGAGACAAATTGTCTGTGGTTGGTGAATTTTATTACTGGTGACAG